GTAATGCAATCAGTATATAGAGAGGGAATTCAATCTCGTACCAGCTTCCAGCTCCAATGCTGGTTTAGTTGTTCTTAACCGGAGAGATGTTTCAGTTTCAGGAGAGAGAGAAAGCAAGAGAGAGAGACATAGAGATTGCATATGAATGCTGACACTGCACAACTATCTGTTTATCCCTCTCTTCCTCTACTCCGTTCACTCTGTTCTCCTTTTTCCCTCCACCACTTGCTTTTTTTGATCATTTCTCGGCTAATTAAGGCCTTTGAGAAGCCAAAGAACAAACGCTTTCAGTCAAAGTGGGGTGAAAAGAGAGAGAGAGAGCGAAAAACTGAGCTGGCAAAAAACCTGTAGACGGATAGCTCCATCACAGCAGAAGAAAGAGAAAAAAAAATAAAACCTCCCTCACGGAAGAACACACACACATAACAGCTACTAACACAGCAACTACAGAAGAGGGTGCAATGTCAGTGTGTAACAGAAATGCCGCTGATGTAGACATCCAAAACCACAAATCAGCCACAATCAGCCAAGTATAGATTACAGAAAGTCCAACCAGCCAACTAATGATTGGCCAAACACACGAAAACAAGCCAAGATCAACCTCCAGAGGAAAGAAAACGAAAGGAGCAACACAAACCATACATGGCAACAGTATATCACCATAAAATTAGAGAGCTAAAGCAAAATGACTGCATAGTTAAACGGCTAAGATGTAAACAGAGTCAATCAGAGTGGTTTGGTGTGAAATGCTCCATTTTAGGGACACTTATTGAGTCAGAATTGTTCACAGTGGTGCTGATAGGAACCAGACGTCTGAAGAGTTTAATGCCTTTAAAAGCCCCCTCAGTTATAAATACACTGCATGATGCCTGCGGAGACAATAGTTTTGAGAAGGTTTTGTACTATTGTTACTATTTTACCATTATCAACATATACAGTGTTTTGCAAAAGTCAGAGACCACCCTTCATTTCTTTAACTTCTGTAATTACAAAATGGCAAAAAAAAGCAGTTCTTAAGCAAGTTATTACATTTTTCAGGAGATGTTTCTAAGGAGATTAGATGTAAGATAATGTACTGCAGTGCCGTCCAAAAACTGATTGAAAGCTACAGAGAAAATGTGGCTCCTAACAACCACCTGGAAGACCTGGGCGACACCAAAACTGCCCCCATCAGATAAACAGCACTTAAAGCTTTCATCTCTGAGAGAGAGGAGAAAATCAAGCTGCTTCAGATCTGAAAACATCCACAGGTGTTTCTGTCCATCCTTCCACTGTGAGAAGACGACTCAGCGCTGTGGGTCTGAAAGGATGTGTAGCTGTCAAGAAGAACCTCACTGAGAAAAGGAGATGGACACATCAAACAAAGAAGCTGAACAATGGACTGACCACCCCAGAGTCCAGACCTCAACACCACTGAATGTGTTTGATCACTTCAGAAAATGATCAACCAGCTTCTAAGACTGAACTTTGGAGGTGTGTCTGCAGATTCTTTGAGGAACTGAAAGTGAGTCTCCTGAAAAGAATGGAAGCTGGAATAAAGGTACAGAGTGACTCACTCAACACTGAAAAGAATGACATTATATTTTGTTATTGAGGCTTCTGTGTAATTTCTGCTGTCTAAAATGAAACTTAATGGACATTTAAGTACTGTAAAAGCTCAGAAGACTCGTGTAGGTTCACTGGTGGTTTTGGATAGTAAATAAAATGTCTATATTTGTGTTGTAGTCATGGTGACCCCTGGTTTCTAACACCACCACTGTAAAGAAATGTGAACCATTTCACACCAAACCACTCTGACCACCACACCTTTACCCCTTTTTAGCACCTTCAAAATCAAAACATTTGGGCACCCTTGGTCAATTTGCACGTTTTAATGAATTTGGAAACAAATCCCACATTTTGTGTTTTATTTTTTCCCCACTATGTTATGTTCAGCATATAAACAGCCCTTTTCCCCACAGAGGATGTGTTAACTCAAAATCAACCGAACATGTTCACACATCCAGATGGGCCACATTTCTGCTGAGAAATTCTCTCTCAGCTTCTGTGTAAACTCTTTCTCTCCTGAATGTATTTTTCTCTATTTTCTCCCTGAGGTCAGGGATGAGAGCACACATTCTGTGCTGGTACATGTGTGTGGGAGTTCACATGTGAGAATTCAGGTAGAAAAAAAAAAAGTAAAGAAAATAAATTCACCATTTTTACAAGGTCACCGCGTTAATATTGACGTGTCCTCGTTTCTCTCTGCAGAAACTAAGTTTACAACTTTCTGCCCAAAAAAGAGGAGAAGTGATGTAGACTGACCTCACACACTCTTTCTGGTCTTTTAAAGGGCCCACATGATGGACATTTTTAAAAATACTATAGTTTGATGTAGTATGTTAACATTGTAAAGCCAGCAGTAATCATTTCAAAGCAAAACATCATCTTTTTTGGTCAAATCAATGCCATGGTTTGAATGTGTATAGTGCAGTGCACGCCGCTTGCTGAACTTCTAATGACCGCGCCGTTCGTTCTGAGACCTCCCCCTGACTGTGACTGGTCCACATGGTGTCCTGAGCCACAGCATGGAGACTCTGAGTGCTGAGACGAGTTCCTTTTCAGTAAATTTACAACAGTATGTTCTGTGGTAGCTCTATTTTGTCATTTCAAGTGTGCTGCCTGCTTTAGATCAGTCTATAAAACCTGTATACAGAAACTAAGCTGCAAAAACCTTTGAATTCACAGTTTTTTATGATGTCACAAAAACGTTCACATTTGCATACACCAACCAATTAGCCAACAGCAGTTTAGCCCCACCCACTCACAGTGAATATATGAGTGTTTTAGCCTGGGCTGCTTTTTTTTACATAGGGCACAATAGGGTACAGTTGAGTCAATCAGAGCAGAGCTCATTTACATATCGTCACTGTCCAAAGAAAAACAAGTATCTCCAAAATAGTAACTTTACAGGAGAGGGCAAAAACTCTCTTACCTTTCAATGTAAGTTAATGTAAAGAGATTTTATTCCAGGTGATTTTAGAGCATTTCTATTGGTCCATTAATCATGAAATTGTCACACAGCGTAAAGGACAGCTTGTGGGTTGAAATGATGTAGAAAAATAACATATTTTTTTTTTTCTTTGGACAGCGATGATATATCAGCCCTAAAGCCTGTTTAATTTTAAGAGGTTGGATGTTAATTATGACTGTTTTTGGCACATAAAATGACATAAGTGACTGTCAAGAGAAATAAAAAGGCAAAAAAAAATGGAGGATATGGTGCTCGTAAATATAAAAATACTATTTTTTCCTGACTTGAAATAAAGCATGGTTCCACAACAAGCCAGTATGAATTTGAAATCATAACTCATTCTCATAGAAAAAAAAACTGTTCCTTATTTGTATAAGCCTGTATCAGAGAGGGTCTCTCACTTAGATCAGCCTTTTCTCATCATGATAGGTTAGAGGTGAAACATGGTATTATTGGTTAATGTTATTTTGCCCCTCCCACTGGTGCATGATGATGTCACAAAAATCAAGATGTGTGACTTTTGAATGGTATGATATGATGACTAGAGCTTAAAATTACCAAATTTACCAGGTAAAAAAAGGTCAGTATTAATTTCAGGTCAATTTTAAAGAAGATACATTATAAAAGGTGGAAAAATAGGGGCAGAATTTGAAGCCATTTGATTTCTGAATTATAATGAACAACGTGGAAAATCTTTTCAGCCTAATTTCCCGTCAAACCCAACATTCAACATCAAAACAATGAATGAGTTCAGCCAAATGAATTCTTGCGCTGCCCTTGAATACAAACGTGATTTATTAAACCATTGGGAAAAGAAGGATAAAAAAATCTTGAAATTAAACGTGAAATCACATTTTTAGCAACCATGTAAAACTGTTTCATCACCAGGAAAAACACAAGGTGCTTCAGTGACTTGTTACTTGCATGTACGGAAGTGACAGCATGCCTAAAACTGCAGATGTGCTGTTTCTCCAGATGACGTTATCGTGCAATTTTTAATGGGAACTAAAGTGAATAAGTCTGATCTCATGAGTTTAGTAGTGCCCCTTTTCCAGCTGTGAATAACTCCCCATTTATTGTTGAAAAAAAAAAACACACACAAAAAAAAAAACCTGGTCCTGATATCAACACTGTTTTGTCCTGTTACACAACATCACGCTTTTCACTGAGACGCTTCACTCAGGACTGAGAATCAGGGGAAAGCAGAGCTGTAATAAATGGAAAAGTATGTTCCCGAGATGAATCCCCTCCAGTGAACCATTTAGACCCTCATGCCGAACTGAACGCTGACAACTTTGTGGATTCCAAAATGCCTTTTCTGTTCTTTTTTTGGAAATAAAGATTAAAAGAAAGTAAGAAAATAAGAAAATATTATTTCTCCCAAAGCATTAAGCCTCTTTTCATCTCCCAGATGATTAACCATCTATTTTTGGCAGCCTGCAGTAAACAGGGTGTCTCCCTGTCGCCCTCTTGTGGACAGTGTCGGTAGTGACCATTGACGTCGACTGTAAATCTCTGCCTGTAATTCACCAAGTGGGTGCTGAAGCTGTTCGTATCTACTCCACGCAGCAAACCTTCAGCTTGCTCTGCTTACTGGAACACGGGTAAAGGCAGTAGTGTCGTTGTCAGATCAGACCAGCACCATCTTGGTCCTCTTTTTTTATTTCATAGCAGCAGTGAGAGGTTTATTTGACCTCGGCAGGTTTACAGGCATTTTCTAATTTGCCTTGCAGATTAATGATAAAAAAAGAGATCCCAGCGCAATAGCACTACGTCCACTGTATTCCCCACAAAAGGTTTTCATTGGTACCCTTTTATTCGATTTAAGATTTTTTTTTTCATCTTTTTCCTTTTTATTAAGAAGGCTATACCAGACGCATAATCACTATACATAGATTTAACATTACCTTTACAATTAAATTTTTCACTGAAATTACAGAATAAATATATGCACATTTATTTTTTTCTTTTTCAAATCTTTGTGTGAGAGAGAAAACATTAAAAGTGCTTCCTACAAAGCCGTTAGTGATAATAATATCCAGAAGCATTTCGTCTTAAGAAAGTGCGTCGAACTCCATAAAATCTTGAGTGTCTTTATGTATTCACAAATCCTTGGGTGTGTCCTTGAGAGAGAGAGAGGACCTCTGATGTCCCTTTATTATAATAATATATAAAATAAATAGACCACTGAACAGTAATGCGTTGCAGTATCTCTATTGAAGGTGAATTATTATTATTTTTTTAATTTCTTTTTTCAGCAATACCCCACGCCTTTTGCAGTTGAGTGCATGCAGCAAACTGCAATAGTCTACAAACTGTGCCTGCGAGCGCGTGAGAGAGACGAGCTGCCGTCAAGGCTTTCGTCTGAACGGTCGTGTATGTGTGCGAGTGATGCTCCTCCCGTCGGCTCCCACAGCCACAAACAAATCTGTTCTGTATAAAAATAAGGGGTTGATAACATTGCTGGCTACTCTGAGAAAAAGAAAATCAACCGAAACAAAACGAAATAAAAATTAAAAGGCACTTCATTGGATATCTGAGTATGGCCTTTCCTCCAAAGCCACTTGGGGGAAACACATTTCTGTGATATATATAGATTAACTTGTCATGCTGCTGTCTATTTTTTTGATACTCATTTTTGTGGTAGTGGTGGTGGTAGTGGTGGGTAGGGGGCGCTATGGAGGTGAGCTTTTTTTTTACTTTCTGTGATTAAAACCTGTACGATTTCTCCAAGACTTCGAGGTAATCCGGCTTGGTTTGGAGTTTGGCCCTTAACTCGAGGTATTCACTTTGGGTTTGTTCTGGAAATCCTTTGCCCCCGGCAAAAAGCAGCGTCTCTTTTAATCTGGCGTCCTGCTGCACATCCGGGTACTGAACGCCCGGCGGATGTGCGTGCGCCATGTGAACGTGCTTAAGTCTCGGCGCTGTGCTGTACAGGCAGTCTACGAATCCCACGGCCTGGGGCGACCTCTGCTGGCTGTCAATTGCAGTGGGGCAAAGCAGCCCGTTCTCGTGAAGCCGCGACCGATCAACGGTGACTATGGTGTTTAGCTGTGATGCGGAAACGGCTGCTGTCCACTCCTGCTCTTTCTCCAGCAGCGTCCGGTAACTTGTGCCTCCGTTTTCCTTCTGCTCTGCCTCCATCTCACCCTCTCGTGGTTTGTAGATGGGGTTGTTGCACATGTGTGCCACAGGATGAGGGATGTAGTCATAAACGTGGCCTGGAGGTTTCTCAGGCGTGGCTGCGGTGGCGCGTTCCTCAAACTGCATCTGAATGCCAGTGAGGTCCACTTCCTGCCTCTTTCTGAAAGGCACGTCCTTCTTTCTCCGCCTCCTCAGGACAAACGCGAAGAGGCCGGCAGCTGCAAAAACAGCACAGATGAACAGAACCAGCAAACTCAAGATCAGAACCGAGAGAGGGACTGCAGATCCCGCAGATGCTGGGGAGACGTGGCCTGACCCCGACGTGCTTTGGGATGTGACATCAAGTGCTGGGGAGCTTGGGGCAGCATATTTCAGCTCAGGACAGATAACCTCTGCCTCCAGGCTACGAAGATCCTTGCCGGTGTGACTCTCGGGAGTCCTGCAGATGACTTCGCCAACCACAATGACCGAGCTGAGCTTCTCCACCCAACGTTTGAGTGGCACAATGGCACATGTGCAGTCCCACGGATTCTGCTGCAGGTCTACCTGCACCACTGCACGCAGGTGCTCCAGCACACCCTCCACAGGCAGGTGCAAGAAGTAGTTGTTGCGCAGGTTCAACCTGGCCAGAGACGTTCCCGCAAAAGCATCCACGGGAAGGGCACGAAGCAGGTTGTCATTCAGGAAGACCAGCTGCAAGTTGGGCATCAGGCTGAAAGCCGCAGGCTCCAGCTCCCGGATCACATTGTACTCCAGGTAAAGATAGCTTAGAGAGTGAAGACCACGGAACATTCCCGGAGTAAGCCGTTCAATGTCATTCCCATTCAAATACAGGCTCTTCAAGTTAGGCAAGTTGATAAATGCGCCCTCCTGGACATATGATATCCGGTTGTTGCCCAGATGGAGCAAATCCAGGCTGGAGAAGTTCCAAAAGTCTGATCTGTAGATCTTCTGGATGAGGTTCCCACTCAGATAGAGCTTCTTGGCATTGAGCGGGCGAGGCAGAAGCTCTGAAATGTTGTGGAAAGCTTTCTCCTTGCAGTTTACCGTCAATCCCAGGTCATTGATGTGCAAGTTGCATGTGCATCCCGCAGGGCAGATTATAGGGATAGGTGGCCGGGTCTGGTAAGCTGGCACAGGTGGCTGATTGGGACCCGGATAGATGCTTCGTGCTGTGGGTGGAGTTTTTGTGGGCCTTGGACGTTTGGTAGGCTTTGGATGCCTCTCCCTGTATTCCACTGAAGATGCCGTGTTGTGGAAGGACGAAAGCATGGATGAGGGTTTTGTGGGCCACGCTCTCTCACCAACCAATTGCAACCTTGGGACACCATATTTGGCCTCAATCTCGGCCTCAGAAAGTGTCGGACACAGCTCCCGTCTCGTGATCTCGCGCAGGTCCTTGCCGTGCAAGTGAAACGGATGCTCGCAAGCCACGTCTCCCACAAGCGCAGCATATGGGATTCGCTCGAGCCACGACTTGAGCTGCACAATTTCGCAAGCACAGTTCCACGGGTTCTCCTCAAGCTGGATCTCCATGAGGCTGCGGCCCACATACTCCAAAGTTCCTTGGTAAGGCAGGTTCTTTAAACGGTTGCCTCGCAAGTCAAGGTGCGTTAGTGACACAGACCTGAAAAGTGTACTGGGCAGTGCAGGTATCAAATTGTCATTGAGGATAAGCACTCTGAGCTTGTGCAAGTTGCGAAAAGCCCCACTTTCTATCCTCTTGATGACATTGTAATCCGCCTGCAGATACTCGAGGCTCTCCAGGCCCAGGAATGTGTCATTCCTGAACACCTCCAGCTTGTTCTCATGCAAGAATAGCTTTTTTAAAATGGCAAGGCCATTAAAAGCACCCGCATGGATGTCCTGCAGTGCATTGTTGCCCAGATTTAGTGACACAGCATTGTTGAGATGCAGGAAGCTGTTGAAATACAGCCTCCGCATAGCGTTCCTCTGCAGGTTCAGCTTGAAGGGTCTCGTCCACGTCTGGGAGATCTGGCTGACGTTGGTGAAGCCTTTGCTGTCACAGTGGACGTGGAAGATGCCCTCTTTGACCTCACAGCTGCAGGGGTCGAAGCATGGCTCGTCCACTTCCTCCGACTCGTCCAGCAAAGGGATCGGCGTGGTGCATCCTAAAGCGATCGAGCTCAGCAGGGTTACCCACAGCATGCTTCCGCCGAGAACCTGGGTGGAGGTACGGCCCACAGCCACGTCACAGCACTGAGAAAAAGAGAGAGAGAGTTTTCAATTTTACAGTCCTTACAGATCCTGTAATTGTCTCCAAAAGGCTAAAATTTCTTATATTCTCATTCTTTGTAACCTGAGCTTTGGCAATAAGCAATAAAGCAGCCTGAAATGAATTGTATTGAGATTGAGAGGGAAAGAGAGAGAGAATCAGAGCTGAGTGGGTTTACTTTGACACTTGTGGAATGGTTTTGGGACTTTTACACTCAGCTAGCTTTGTGTGTGAAGACTTTTACCTTCTCGTAAACAAATTCTTTAGATTTTTATCAAATTAACAAATTAATTACATCCCGTAGCATCACAGCACTGACACCGACAGATATTCGGAGCAAAGAGGACACCCTGTTCTTAGTCTGTCAGTCTGGAAAACATTCTAGGACCTTCACAGCCAGCTGGATAGTTTGTTGCGAGAGCTTTTTCCTGAGTTAGCATCATAAAAAATTGAGAATTTTTGTTGATAAGTAACCTTTTTAAAAAGTTTCTACACATTTCACTGTTATTACCAGTCACGGAATATGTTTTGGTACCAAATAGAGCCCTTTTTGCTAAGAGCGTAGCCAAGTCCCAATATGTCCCAGTATGTTTATATCAGTCCTAATAGGTTTCCCAACATAGAGAAGCATTTAAACATGCATATCAAAATGTATGCATACAAATGGTTCTTTGAGGAGTCACTGTTCAGTATATAGCCATTGCCTTTACTAAAGAACCCTTGAGGAACCAATTTTTAAGGGTGACCTTGGTAGAATTATGTATGTTTCTCATGAAAAATGTATCTTACATTTTACAAAGTTGGTTACATAACATCATAGTTAATCTGTCTAGAATTCCTTTGCTATTGCACACAACATACACATCTCAGATTCACCACACAGCAGTTTCAATGCAGAAAATCTCTAAGATTTCTAAGAATTAAGCTAAAATAACAAATGCAGGCACTATACATAAAACATATGAGGAAATTCTTATTCCTCTGAAAAGGAAACTTCATAGGATAAGGTAGAAATGTCTTTAACATCTTAATATCTGTCGATCTATAATCTATATGTATAAAAATATTTGAAATACTTGCTTTTCTTTTGATCCATTTGTCATATAAAGCATTCACTCTTCACACAATTCAAAGACCAGCAGGCATGGAGTATAAATAAAGATCTTTGTTTCAAAATGGACAAATATATTTAAACAAAATTTTATATTTCTCAAATCATGTGATGTTAATGATATGATATCACTGCTATTTCCTGTATATGCAAAGCCACCCCAACAATGTATATCATGAAAAAAACATACATGGGATGCATTTTGGAACAAAACCTTCAATGTATAAGCAGTGGTCGCTCGTTATCATGGCACTGAATGACGTCCCCTGAACTGAATCCACTGTAGTGTTTAGTAGAAATGGAAATAAAAGGAAACTATAGATATGAATTCAGCTCTGGAGATTTTATGAGAGATTTTTAATGAAGGATCATGAATGCACTGCAGGCGGTGGACGGATCACACAAGCACGCGTCGCATTCTGATGAAAGATGAAGGTGAACGTCGGCGGGTCGATGGGGACGGGATGGTGTGCGTTTGTGGGGACGGGGGGCTGATAGGATGATGTGTAAGGTCGCCTGAATCATTAGGCATGTCAGTGACGGTGCAGTTTTCCGGCACAATCACTCCTCACTCGCTTAACCATCACACCGTTCCTCTCTCACCCACACATTCAAACAGAATGGCTCTCGTCCCTCCCTCTCTGTTTCTCTCTCTCTCTCCACTTTACTGGTTATCTCTCTCTTTCCCTGTCCCTTGTTGATTCTCTCCCTCTCTCTCTCTCTCTCTCTCTCTCACACACACACACACACAAATATACACACATACATTCACACACAATGGCTCTTAATGTCTTCTTTCTTTCTCTCTCTCTTCTCTGTCTATTCTATTCTATCCTATTCTATTCTATTCTATTCCAAAGGCTGCCTCTCTATTCTATTTTACTCTA